TTTTGGCTTCTCCTGCCTCTAAGGAGTCCCCTCTTCGGAAGTCTTTGAAGTGCTATCCTTGGAAACGCGTTCCACCTTGCCTCAAACCTCCTTGGCCCCACTGGACCCCGACTTCAGGGGCCTCGCCTTAACAGTGGTTGTGGCCTTCAGAATAGTAGCCATGTCTGGAGCTGGGTACTCCCTCCTCTTAAATTTATCTGCAAGCACGTCAGGTCAGCACATCAGTATCAAAATAAAAGAACAAGAAAATTTACAACTGTGGGAGCTTCGTAACTCTCGAAGCCATCAGTCCAAAATCCAGGAAGTAGCGACTCCTGTCGATCAGGTGGTTAAAGTGGCGGAGCTTCAGAGGCCTCTTGTAGATGTCCTCTATCACCTCGAACTCTTCCCTACTGAGCTCGAACATCGTACTACTATCTACAATGGAAGCCCCAACAGTTAGAATAGTTCAAGTGTTCAATTCAGAAGTACAAGCAGGGGCTGGGAGACTCACGAGTTTCGTAGTACTGGGTCGACACTGTGCAAGAAAGGGCCTTGTCACCCTCCACTGCCTGCCATTTTCCTCGCACCCAGAACCAGGACTCCTTCCACCCCTTGATGGAGGAAGGTGGTCCCACCACAAAGGGTGCGTGAGCCCCCCAAGGTATAAGATAATACCACCCCTTGGACTCCTTCCCTATGACCCGAGGCTGGAAAAGGGTCATAAATGCATGGAGAGGCATGTCCTCCCCAAGTGACACCTCCTTCTACAGGAAGTACGAGCCGACCAGCTGGCTCCACCCATTTGGCAGAACCTGGGTCGACGACAACATGAAATTCCTCAGCACCGTCCTAAAGAAGGGGTGCAGAGGAAGACGCATACCTGCCTTAAACGGGTATTCACTGACTGCCACACAACCGGGCCTCGGGTAGCAGGCCCGCTCGTTCAGCTCGGGAACTAACATTTCTATAGTGTGGGGGACATTGTATCTCTCCCTGATTTCCTCCAACCTCTTCCACATCATACTTGAAGGCACCCTAGACGCCCCCCACTCTTCGGTATAATCTACTGGCTCCCGGTCATGGCGTACCTATCAACCTCGAAATCCCCCCTGTGACTGACCTCATAATCTAACGAAGCTACTGTCACCAGCTCCCTACCCGAGGTGGACTCCATTTCACAGTATTAACACAGAAATAAAAAAGGGGCTCTTCTAAGAATAATACCTAAGGGAGGAACTACGTGAACGGAGATAGGCCGAAAAATGAAAGAACAAACAGCCTCAACGCCGGAAAGTTCAAGATTTCAGAGAGAATCAGATTGCAAATGTTCAAAAGTCCTGAAAAATGGAATTTTCTCACCTTTTATAGAGGTCCAGGACGAACCCCAGCCGTCAGATCAAAGCTCAGTCAATCTGAACCCTCCATTGTAGATCAAATCCGAGGCGTTGAATTCAAATGATTTTTCAAACCTACGCCTCAGATTCAAGCGTGTCTCCCACGCACCCCATCCAACGCGTCTGCTTCTAGAACCTCCAGCTTTCCTCATAATTGTGTTTTTAATTCAACAACAGCAGGCGCCATGGAAGTCGTAACAGGTCAGCCACTTTTCCTTGAAAACAAGCACAAAACATCAAATCATTGGCACAGCTATCGACGTACAATCATTACCATTGAGCCTCGGCTTCCTCTTCAACGTTCAGCCAACAAGCCTCGCAGGTTCAGTTTTCCAACCACCTTGGCTTCCTCTTCAACATTCAGCCATCAAGCCTCGCAGGTTCGGTTTCCCAACCACCTCGGCTTCAACTTCAACATTCAGCCATCGAGCCTCGCAGGTTCAATTTCCCAACCACCTCGGCTTCAACTTTCACATTCAGCCATCGAGCCTCGCAGGTTCGATTTCCCAACCACCTCGGCTTCCTCTTCAACAAAGCCTCGGTCTCTACATCATTCACCTACAGCAGTACATCTCTAACTCCAACCATGATATAAATATCTATACAGGACTTGGGGAACTATTATTTGGGGTTCAAAAATTCTTTCAATTTTTACTTCATTAAAGTTCACGCATTACATAAATGTCCACACTTGGATTTGGTGGACTATTGTTGCGTGTTGTCATACTTGGCCAACCTACCTGGGCCATGGCCCACTCAAGCTGAACCACGTGGCACTCAGTCGAGGTGTCATATATTTTCGAGGTGGGCTATGGCCAAAGTCCACTAGCCGAGGCGCCCTTTTACCGAGGCCTGTGAATGTAACCGAGGTCCACATGCTGAGGCCTACGAGCCGAAGCCATGATGCTGAAGCTGGTTGAAGTTAGCTGAAGCCCTCAAGTGGAAGTATTGTATGAAATGGCCGAAGCCCCGAAACTAATGCAGGAGCCACCAAACCACAAGGGAGCATCCTCCATGGTCACTTCTCCCAAGAGATCGTCTGCACAAAAATCTTATTCGAATGATTGATGGAACGTTTGTCATAAGCATAAAGGTCAAGTCTTGTCACTAGTATGGAGGCTTTGCACAAGCAATAAATGTGCAGCAAGCTAGCAAGTCAAGCCCCATGCCTAGGATAAGATGTTTGAATCAAAGAGATGAGGCCACGTGCCACCTCATCCAAGGGCTCCCATTTCACATGTATCACTATAAATACTCCCCTTGTGTAACATCAAAAGGCTAATGCAAGAATCAATACAAAGAACTACACTTTACTCAACTCTCTCTCATTTACTTGCAATACACAAATCGGGTTTATGCACATTTACACATTTACGAATACCGGTTGATAATTATCGTACAATCGGATCACGAACAATCCATCGGATTTCGAACGTCACTGTCCCGCATCGTTGGGCTACTCCTACGCCTTTTGAACCGCTCGTTTTAGACCGTCCACGTGTCTTAGCTATTGGACATTCGCCCACGTGTGCACGGATGGGACCGGAATCTGTTGGCAACACTTTTTGGGGTCAACAGGTTCTTCTACAAGAATTGAGCCACACTTAGCGCATATGGTATTTTCGGTGGTTTCTGATTCTTAATTCTGAGCACGATTTTTTGGATGTAAAATTCATTAATCTTTGTTCTTAATAGCGAAGTTTGTTTTATATATTTGGTTTATAAGTACCCTTAATTCTTCTTCTTTTCCTTGTCTTTATTATTTGGGTTTACGAATTTATTCAGCTGGAGAATTTTTTGACAGTCATCTCACTAAGCATTTTTTTTTATTTTGAAATTGAAGAATTAATTATTTTAGTTGATCATTTCTTTTTTATTTTTTAAATTTAAGTGAAACAATAAAAATTATAATGATAATCATCATTAATAACAAATTCTACACCCACAGTTTTTTCATGATTGATATTTCGAATTTTAGTTCTGATTATTTTGTTTCAAGTCAATGGAGGACTTCAATTAATTAGATGTTATATTAAAGAGGAATTAATAAAAATTAGTTGAAGTAGTTGAAGTTATGCTGGTTAGTGTTAAAATTTCTCAACTATATGCTAATTTGTCTTGGTCTCCACATGGAATGTGCTAAATTACCTTGAATGATGTTCTTTCTAAGGAGTAAATATATTTCTAGATTATTATCAAGATTCAATCAATTGCTTCAAGTTTTACAATTCAAGATTGAGAAGTTGTTTATGAAATGATTGTATAAAATAATTGAATGGTGATGAATTAATGCTATGACCTCATTATCTCTTCTGCGAGTGCCTGAAGTTTCAAAATTTTCCAAAAGTTCATTAGGTCCATCCAACATAAGTGTTCCCTCTTACAGTGGCAAAGGCAATGTTCAAAGCCTCCCTACTCCATTTTCTGCAGTCAATAGTTGTAGGCCGCTGGGTCCCACGGGCCAATTGCATGCAGGCAACCTTCCAATTGAATATTAACTGGCAAAGACAAGCGTTCAAAAATGTTGGAAAATGTAGAAAAATGAACTAAAATGGGGCTCAAACGCAAGCATATGTGTGGTCCGGAGAAGAAAGCATGTCACAGGAATATATTACTGTAGCAAAATCGGATAAGTTGAATACAGTGTGAAAAGCTATGTGACATAAATGAATAGTAGAATCAAAACCCCTCTTTTAAAAGGTAGTAGAAACATGTCAAATTTAGACCTTATAGAATGAATGCTCACTATATTCGAGTAGAAATATATTTGACAAATAAGCCAACTTGACTCCTCATCACGTCAAAGTGAGAAAGTAGCTCTGTTAATTTCTTTGTCCACGTACAAACTCAAAAATAATAGAAAATTATACACATTTAATTTAATCCAGTCCTATCTAACAAGTTGGATAGTAATTTTATCATCTAATCTGTTCTATATTATGTCGCACTTGTATGTGCAATCAAACCAACGACAAAGTTAGACATTCTTCATTGAAGCATGAATTTCGTGTCACTTAGCTTCGAGACAATGTAAGCACGAATATACAAAATTTCTAAGCTCATACCAATAAGATCTTTAGTTGTGGTTAGATAATTTTTTATTGTTGCCTTTGAGGAACACCTTTATAATGTTGTGCCAAGATTTGGTTGAATTCATGATGTTGGCTGTGCCTCTAGTGGTGACTAGAGAACATAATGGATTTTCATCTTTGTAAGATGATGTTTTATTGTTGTTACCAAGCGTGCTCTTGATGTAGTCTTTTAGTCAATGCTAGGGAAGAAAACATTGGATTCCCATTATTATTCTAGTGGAGATTTTTCGTAGTAGAACCCCGTAGATATAAGCATATTGTCCAACTAAGTTAAATGTAGTGTCATCAATTTCACACACGCCAAATTTAAACCATTATTACTTGTCAATTTAAGCCAACAATCGAATGCAATATCTATGTAAGTGATTCAAACCAGGGGATATTGAGGCATTTGACATTGAAGTGAAGAAATCGTCAGTATCCGTATAGATGAGCTTAGCAAAAAAAGAAGCAATAATTTGGTAAAAGTTGCATACCCATTTATTGGAAGAAAATGAAATTTGAGATTTCAGAGAAGTTGGGAAGCCAAAAGTGAAATAAAAAATAAAAGAATAAAAATTTAAAAACTTATGTGGACATGAACCATGTACTTCCGTCCATGGTTGCCTCAGCAGACCCGTCTTTTAACTCCACAATGCATCAGTTATTTCCATTGAAGCATGAATTTCACGACACTGGCTTAGAGAGAATGCAAGCAAGAATACACAAAATTTCTAAGCTGATACCCATAAGATCTTTAGTTAAATCTTGTCTCTTTCTCAGATAGATGAGGCAAATATACAGAGCTGCATATTAACTACTACTGCAATGCACATTTAGAAAGGGGCAGGAAATATTGAATAAGGTGCAGCATGCTCTTTCCTGCAAGTTTGCCGTGACCCAAGGATACTCAGACCTTGTTATACACATACAAACAGATGCTTATCGCACCAAGATTCAAGGGTCGGCTGCTCCACTAACGGCAAAACACATCAAACTTCTTTGGGGTCAGTGTCATTTTGTAAATCCACACTACTCAATTCTGCAACAGGATTGTTGCAGGGAAGTAGACATGGAGTAGCAGATGCCTTATCTTTCGCATCAGATGCTCCATTTGCCCAATTCGTGATCCCATGAAGAGGCAACTGCCCTGAGGAGACGCTGCTGCATCCACACTCTGTTTCTGGTGCATGACCCTTGCCCTCAGTTTCAGCAGATGCCCAATTCGGTTTGTAATCGGTCTCTGGTAAAGTCAAGGATGCTACTTTATGGCCTGCGCATTCAGGCAATGAAGTAAGGTCCACTGCAGGCGACTTGGGAACTTCAGATTCACTGGCTTTACCAGTTCCATCTTTTCCCCCACCTACAACATAGACTTTCCACACAGATTAGCAGATGGGCACAACGTGCAATATGATGGGGCAGTCTATCATGACATGTTTGATAGGGGGGAATATAAATAGCACTAAACACTATAAAGGAGAACAAAGATTAAAAAATAAATAAAAATTCATTGTACTGTCGAGTCCAATGCTGCGACCCAAATATGAACTAAATAAACGCAGTAACTAAGATGAAATAAAGACCTGGATGAGAAGCCGAGTCGGGGGCCACACTGGCACTTGAAGGAGTACTTGAAATTCCAGTTCCTCTTTTCATCTTCGACTGTGTTGCACGATGATGATATAAAATTTATTAGCTTCTGACAAGAAAAATGGAGCTCAAAATGCTTGGAACTAAAGCAAAGAATAATCATGAAAATCATTTGGTTGAGCTAGCATACTAAGGGATAACGAGAGTTCAATCACTTGAAAGAAGCCAACAAAAGTTAAAATAATCGAGTGAGTCAGAAAAAAATCTTCTTGTCGAACTGACATTCATCACACACATTTTCATTTTGAAGCATTACAATCGTACTCAACGATTATGTTTCAGCATTTTCTGTGGAACTGAGATATTATGGATCATGCGTGGTTCAACGATGCCTTACTTATTACAGATAGAAGCTTCAGCATATTAGCCCAACAATCATATGGAGGTTACATGACATACCTTTAAATTCTCTTCACAGTACTTTATAACAAGCGAGACACTTGTGCAATGGCCGTGCAAAAGTGTGTAAGCCCATAAGAGAAGTTTCCGTGAAGTATTCATATCAAGTAAGTCGACACCATCTATCCCTGGTTGGATATACGTTTCAGTTGCCAGCTGAGATGGCACCATATAAAGGTTTATTCCCGATGGGAGCAATGCACATGAGGTGTCCTTGTAAAAATTGTAAGAAGACCTAAGTAATGAAAAAGCAGTTTCCAAATCTTCATCTGAAACTTTCTTGACTATTACATTCTTAATCCTAGACAATGAAGGATTCCATTTGGATTCAAGCATCTTAAGATGAGTCAGGTCCTCAAATGCGGAATTCCATAATTCTTCTGATTGCAGATCAACACAAAGCAGCTGCTCATTTTCGAATCCACCACCTAATAAATTTTGAACTTGGATATCACTAGACAGCCTCAAATGCAAAGGTGTAAGTAGAGCCATGCTAATGACAAGAGACCGACACCAGGCAGCAGAAACATGCCGATACACTATAGTACAGTTACTATTGGACAATTTTGGGTTCTTCAATCGCTTTCGTATCTTCTCATTTATTCCTTCAAGCATTTCTACCTTGATATTTCTCTCTAGCCACTGGATGTATTGATAAAGATATCTGTAATAAAGAAATAAAGTACATTGCTTTGTATGCCTTAAGTTAAAGGGGAAACTGAACCATTGTTCCCTAACCTATTACCGGAGTAGAAGTTGATCCCAAACTTTTAAAACGAGCAAGTTGATAGTCAACCTTTCATTATACTCCCTCAACTAGTCCTAGAAACTGTCCAAGTCATCATCCAGCCGTCATGTGGCCCTCATGCAAACATCACTCCGTTTCTTTGGTTTTCAGTCCAGGTTCAGAAACAAGATATAACTTCATAAAGTTGGAGACATGATGATTTGACAGAGGTTTAGGCAGTTTCCACCACTAGGGAATCATTCTTCAAGTATAATGATGGTCGATGAGCAATTTGCTGATTTTTAATTGGAACCAACTTTGCTATTCAGGTAATAGGTTCGAGACCAATAGTGTAATTTTCTCTGAGATAAAACAATCAACATATGATATATGGCAGCATTTCAGTTACCAAGAAATCATTTCAGGACTTACCCACACAAGTTGCTTTCAGTTAATTCTGGACTCAAGAGCTCAGGCAAGCCGCAAATCTCTGGCCACATGTTGATCTGCTCCAACAGTAGAGAGAATAATTTCTCCAGAAGATGCTCAACATCATTAGCATTATCCAAATCAATCCCATATTGACGTACTGAGAAAATTAAGGCCCTGATGTACCTCCCGAGAGCCACTGGAACAAGATCTTCAAGGCACAAGGAGAACTGTATTCACAATGGATTAGGTATAAAACAAATGTGCGGGAAATAAAAACTAGAACCAACATTTCCGGTTATATGATAGATCTAACTTTGTTGTGTATCAGTTACCAGTTCGGATTTTTGTGAGATAAAATTAATAGACAAATTACATGAGAGAGCATTTTTGGGGCTTTCTCTAGTTTGTAATCTTAAATAAAAGGGGAAATGGACCAAAAAAGGATATAAAGGGAGAGGTGTAAAGTAGTTTAAACTAAGTGTTTTAAATATGCAGTTAAAAATTGACACAAGGGAAGATACCAAACAACAGAACTCCTTTTTTACTTCATTTATATTTCTCTTTCCTATTGCTTTTCCTTGTCACCATGTAAAGAGAGTTTTTTCATTTCCTACCCTTCAAGTTAAAGGAATGATGATAAGTTATAAATTATAAACGTAATCACAGAAAATTGAGGGCAAAAGCGATTTAATTTTTTTTCCTTTAGCTCAAAGTTTAACAGAAACCAATGAAATTTCTTCTGAAATTGTTTGAAGCAAAAATAGAAACAACTTGGTGTTATTCTTCTATCTATCAACCAATTAGAAATAAAAATGCTATTACATATATATATTGAATGAAATTCATATTTAAATGCTCGCAACCAGGTGAATACTGAAATAAATGCAAATATTTAAGCAAAAATCAAAAGCATTAACGTTTTAATACCCTTTTATCTGCTCGCAGAGAGATATAAGCCCGATCAAGAGTAGAGATTTCTCCTGTTTCCTCCAACAATTTCAAATAGAATAAGATGTACTTCCGAATACAAGTTATATATTTTCGAGAACTTTCTGCTAGGTTAACTTCCAGTGTTCTCCTGTTCCCAGAGGGACCTAGTGTTTTGCGTCTGTAATACAAAGGAGGAGGAGAAAGAGTGAATAGTTGCTATAGTTTAAGAGAAATCCAACAAAAATTTCAAAATTAGAATTGACAGGCCCTCGAGAGAGAAATAATGATCTTTCCTTATAATAAACCCCAACTATATTTGATTACACTTAACTTTTTCACCATGATAATATTTTCATACTGCATGTCTCCAGCTGTTCGATTACTACAAAATTCAACCACCTATTTTGAAGTTCTAATTTATAATCACAAATGTTTGAACTTAAAGAACACAGCAAAAAGATAAAGAGTAAGAAAATGGGTAAATACTTCATGTTAGTATAGATATTAAATAGAAAACACATGTTATACCTGCCTCTCTTCACCATACTGTCAATCTCCCACATGTTTATAGTAAATGAAGAACGCGACGACTTAAAGCAGAATGAAAGTTCCTCTTTTGCCTTGTCTAGATCCCCTGTTCTACCTCTCCTGTACAGCCCCTGGGCAAGCATATATCTGGCTTTATGGAAATGCTTTAGTTCCCCTTCCACACAAGTTTCCAGTGCAGAAAGGCAATCACTGTAGAGCAGCTGCCATGCAGCTTCAAATTTATGGAAGTCTGCAGTCTCAGAATTATTATCCTCATCGATCATTGATGATTCTGAAGTTTCATGGCCAAGACTACTCCAAATATTCATTACATTTTCCTTTGTTGAATGGGCGAAGGAATATGCTGTGACGACCTAGAACACATAAGAATTAATTAAAAAAACCCACAATCTCTAAGCAATCATCAATATATTTGAGTTTTTAGATGATCGATCAATTAAAGTAAAATCAGTAACTACAGAGTGCATGTCTTCTATTTGTTTATTCGGTTCGTTTCGGTGTAGTTTTATGGAAATAGTAGTGATTGCCATAATTTGAGTTAATTGTATAGTCGTATTACCACATTTGATGGAACAAATTATCACCATTATTGTTGGAGTTGATTATAGACAGTTAATTGCAGGAGTAATTATAAGAACTATTTAGATGAGTTGGTTAACATGGTGCCGGAGCGAGTTGTGGCGCACACTATGACTAACAACTTCAATTTGTATGTCTTGGGTAGACAAAATGTCAAAGTGAAGAATAAGATCATCTATTGCAAAATTGTGTACTCCAAACTCAAAAACTCTTCCTCCTAACTCAATTTTACAAGTTCCTAATCATTCCAAAAATCAATTATTATTGTTTTTTATCTTGATATCAAGATTGCTCATGGAAAAGCTGTGAGATCTTGTACACAACATCCTATTTCCAAATTTACTCCTTCGGAGCTTTACTACTAACGAATCTTCTTGAAACTCGATTCTAAGCACTATATAGAAAGTTCTAACTATTCTAAGTTGGAAAGAAGTCGATTCTCAAGAGAGAGAAAAATATTTAGAAAGAATGGTTTTTGGGAACTTGTTGATCTTCCACTAGTGAAGAAATCGGTCAAGTGTAAGTGAGCGTATACATTGAAACGTAAGGTAGATGGATGGTTGATGGATACAAGGCAAGACTTGTGGTAAGGAGGATCACGGAGACTTTTGGAGTTGCCTATCAAAAGACATTTGCACTTGTACACAAGATGAACTCAACTCATAATATTACCTATTGCAGCAAATCTAGACTAGTGACTTGAGTAACTTGGTGTTCAAATTCCTTTCTTACATTGCAATTTAGAGGAAGAAGTGTACACAAGGTTGCCACCTAGTTTTGAAGATAAGTCCGGAAGATGGAAAGTTTGTAATGGAGATAGATAGAATTTAGATATGATTTTAAGTATAGTTTAATTCAAATCTACTTTGTTTAGATTAGATTACTTTTAATATACTGATAAAGTTCTAGTTTATTAAAAGTTCTCTTGATTTTAGCTTATATGAATAAATCTATTTCTCTTTCTCCAATTTCTTCTCTTCTTTGGTCTCATTTTTCTTCTTATATTGACACACACTAACCACAAGCATGATTCAAAGGAGCTTCCAAAGCAATAGTCGGTTCAAGTATGCTCAAACCAAGGTAATCATAATTTATGAGTCACACACTCTAAAAGTGGGAAGAAAATTAGTATCTTGATTGCTTACATGGAAGACATCATCTTTATTGGTAATGATACTAACGAGACAGGAAAACATTAAAAAAATCAATATGAAGGATTTAAGAACCTGAGATATTTTTGAGGTATTAAAGTTGAAAGATCTAGAAAAGAAATATTTATATCACGAACAAAGTGTCTTAAGCCTCAAAAGAAATTGGGAAATAATCCAATTGATCCAAAATAGATTCCAAAGCTACGGTTGAGAGTGCTATAGCTAATAAAGGTTGATACCGGTAATTGGTTTGTAAGTTCATATACTTGTCACACCTTAGACTTAGATATTGCATTCGTTATAGTGTGGTAAGTCGATATATGCACTCCATTTGTGAAATTCAAATGGAAACACTTTCGAAAATGCTAGGGTACTTGAAAATGGTCTCCATTTTTCAGAAAATAATAACATTTAAGTCAAAGCATATACATATTGGGCCGGTAGAGTAACTTACATTTGGATATTATACATGTATTGGGTAAAATTTAGGTACTTGTAGGAGTAAAAAACAATCTATACTGGCTAGATCAAGTGTTGAAGCCGAGTTCAATCAATGACTTTAAGAATATGTCTATCATTATAGATGAAGATTTGTTGCTCAAATAGAAACAACGAAGCTCTGTCATGACAATAATGTTGCTATCAACAACTTTGAGGGGTCACTCAGTGATCAGGCCTTGAGGGTAAAATTTAGGTACTTGTAGGAGTAAAAAACAATCTATACTGGCTAGATCAAGTGTTGAAGCCGAGTTCAATCAATGACTTGAAGAATATGTCTATCATTATAGATGAAGATTTGTTGCTCAAATAGAAACAACGAAGCTCTGTCATGACAATAATGTTGCTATCAACAACTTTGAGGGGTCACTCAGTGATCAGGCCTTGGGTTTGCTCCCAATGATCACCAGTTCAAGTCCTTTCAGGGCCATTAAAATGAGTACACAATTGTAAACTTCAAAATTTCGTGAGATTAGTCGAGGTGCGCGAAAGTTAGCCCGAACACCCCCAGTCATTAAAAAAAATGTTGCTATCAACATCGTTAACAATCTTGTTCAACGTTAAAAGACAAAACATGTTGAAATTGATGGACATTTTATCAAGATGAAGATTGACATCGGTCATAGTCGATAACAATTGGCACATGTTCTTACCAAAGGGTTTTTCTTGATTTATGTTTCTTCTATAACAAGATGGGAATGATTCATATCTTCAAACTAGCTTGAAAGGAGCGTGAAAAATACGTGTAGTTATCATAATATTAGGAGATAATTAAATAGCTGATTACCATAATTGTAGGAGTTGATTGTATGAGGTTATTATAGGATATTAATTAAAAGAGCTAATTAGGTTTCTTTAATATCTAGTGTAAACTTTTGATGTTTTTTATGTATGGAATAAAATTATATTTTTTGGAGTCTCTTTGTCTTTGCGAACGTCCACTTAAGCTAGTATAATAACATATTAGCGCGTGCAAGGTTGGTACTATAGGGTGCATGCACGTATAGACATGATAAATCACTTCACCTAAAGAAAATAAATAAATAAATATAGTAATCGAACAGCATGCTATCAAAACCTTTAAAGCCTCTTCATTTTGTTTCCCACATGTGCAGAGTAACTTCATTCTAGAAGCATGCATTCTGTAGAATGGATCTACAGCTGATTGATTCAAAGCAATCGCCTTAGCGTAATATGAGAATGATACGTCATGGGAGTACCCAAGTTTCTCAGAGAGTTTTCCAATATAAAAAGCATGAGACCATTCTCCCCTGAGAATAGAAATTGTATATTGGTAGGGTCCCGTATTACTCTTACATTACATAAGAAATTATTCAAGAATACCAAGTGAGGAAAGGAAAGATACTTGTGTTTAAAGGCTCTCTTGAAATGCCTCATTGAGTTCTGGCAATATATCTTCCATGTTGCATCTTTCGAGGGTACAGAGAATCTTTGATCGTAAAATGGCACCACATTCTGAATTCCATCATAGTACACTAGTGCCAATAATTCGTGAATCTCACCCTGAAACCAGTGGTGACGGTGTGACAGTAGAAGTTTGAAAATATATATATATATATATGCAACAACATGATTACTACTTACAAGCCTCTAGGCTAACAATTAACTCAGTTTATAAGCAACATCAATGAAACTTGTGTGCTGATTCTAACACAAGACCAGCACAACATGGAGACGGCTTGATTTCTAATTATGGTATCAGGTTATTACAACTTATGGGAAAACAGGCCAGATAAATCATTCATTGAGCAGCTACAAATGATGATAATATGGAAGTAACATTATATGAAATGTTCCAAAGGAGAGCCATGAATCCAGTCATTATTTTGCTAGCACAATTGCAAAAAGGACCATGCACTGTTAGAACAAAAACATCAACAATTTCTTTTGATGAGAATTACTATGAGATGCATGAAACCTGTTGGGATACAGACATAGCCAAAGCCAAAGTCATGAATAAGCATCGTTTACTCCTCCTTCGACTTGCTTCAACTCTCTGAGCTAACGTAGCATCCTTCCTCCATCCCAAAACATTTATTTGCTTACTGCCGTCGTTTAGCAGCAAGTCAACCTCCTGCATTCCCAAAAAATAATAAAATTATAATTCATGAGATGCTTCTCCCTCGTTTTTTCTACTAAATTCACAGATATCAATGACATATAACACAAAAACACACCTCATCATAGATATTTGCAAGCCTCTGCCAACTTTCTAAACGAGAAGGATTGTACAATAGATCATATTTGAAGAGATTTGCATTTTGCTCTACAAATTCTTCCCCTTCTTTAGTCAGAACAAAGCCAGCCCATTTATCAGTTGCACTCATTTCCTCAGACTGTGCGAGAAGATAGAACAAGTTGCTATAGACTTCCAGATAAGGTTCAGATCTGCAATTAATAATGCAGTACATGCTTTTAAAAGTTCCACAGCAACAAACAGCCCACTCGAGAACAAGAAGTGACTGTAGTAACTTGGTCATATTGTACCTCTCTATTGAAGATGCTTTCTTAATGGAATCCAGAAAGCCCTGAGCCTCCACCAGCAGCTTGTCTTCACTCAAGTCAGGATCATCTAAGAACTTATCAATTGCATTTCCAGACAAAATATTGTCAGGTGGTTGTGGAAAATGTTTGCGTATGGCTCTCAGTACTCTCCGAAGTTTAACTAGCCCAGTTTTCTGAAAGACAAACAGATTCAAGTATGTGCATCGCCTACTATATATCCTGAACACTCATATATAAGGAATCCTACGAATGAAATGTGCGTGAGAAGCGATGTTGACAGGGGGAGAAAAGAAATATACTTACAGATGAAGCTTTCGCATAGGGAAGTATATATTGAAAAACATCAGCACACTGTTCCTTGGTCTGATAATCTCCACGGCTTGTATTTTTGTGCATGGCCAAATCTTCTTCATAAGACGAATCTGACCGAAGGTTTAAACCATACAAACAGTAAAAGCATTGATTCAAGGCAGTATCTATACCCAGCTCAAGTTCCTCATCTTCATTTTCCATTGAATCATCTCCTGATTCAACAATTTGTTTGTTCTGTATTTCTCTTTCTTGGAACAGGACACCAAGCCCATCGCCAGCATTATTGTCAGTTTCTGCTTTCATTTTCCCGTTATCTACAGCTGTATGACAGTAAAGGCCTTCTGAACTCAACCTTCCAACATCCTTTCCAGAATCGCTAGCTTCAGCTTTATCATCAGTTTGCACTTCCGCAGTATTGAAATGTGATCTATTTTGAGATCCATTGATGTGAATACCATCCGAAAGCAGTTCAGATTTTTTGAGCTGATTTTCAGGTGAACAATGCTCAGCAGAATTTGTTTCGTGTTCCTTACTCAAAGTTTGGAAGTTAGATTTAAGCTTCATATCCAAGGCTAGAAGATGCTTTATTGCAAATTTTAAGAATGTCCCTTCTTCTTCACCAATCCCATGCGCACAACAGATGCCAAACTCAGCAAGCATGTCATGGATTGCTCCAATCAACTCTGTCTGAAAGTGTTTGGGAAATGTAGTGTGAAAAGTTAGTAGGAAATTAGAAAGCACAACATATGACTGAATAAAACTAAAAATTTAAATCCTCAGAAGTAGGGGGAAAGTTCTCACTTGAGTTTTGATTGGAACGCTGAAATCTAAGTGTTGAAGTTTACAGAAAGCTATAGCAGCATCCACAAAGGAGCATATTTCAGTTTGCTCAATTGAATGTGGAAATCCAGGACCAGAGCCAGAGGTCATCTTAGAGAAGTATGTACCAGCAATACTGCACATAAGAGCCAGCAGCAAAGACTGAATATCACCCACAATTGTCATAGGAATGCAATTCTGCATGGAATAGAACACATGACTATTATTGCATCCAACTCTAGGTAAAACAAAGACAATGAAGATGCACAACAAGAAGTTTACACTGACAAGTCTTAAATAGAAAACAAAACAACCATCAGCATAAATACCATAGCGACAAGCGTCTTAAAGAGTCTTGTGGAAAAGTTGCAGAGAATATTAGGTACTGTTACTAAGCAGTGACAAATAGTTAGTACCATAAATTTTAGAAGTTTAATAATGAACAAAATATAAAGAGCAGGATACTGAGGATATCAGCAGCATTGCCCAGACATTTCAAAATCCTCGTGCTTTGTGAAGAAAGATACTACTTCTATGAATAGTTCAAAGCAAATTATCAGTTACAACTATTTCTGTGGTCATTTCTTTCTCCCCACTTTTTAGTTTGATTTCTATGGTTGCATGTTTAGTTTGAAGCCACAGTTAAGTAGCGTGAGTTCTTTAAAAGGAGCAGCTGTCACAGTATTTGCCCAGACAAAGTTAGTGGCCATTAAAACTTGAAAACGGTTTCACTTACCGAATTTTCAATAGGACTGATGGTGCTCTTGATCCGCGATGCAGATTGAGATATTGCCTTCACCTCTTCAGCAACCAAATGATTCCAGTGCTTGCAGAGGCTTTCTGTTGATTCAGTTGAGGATGCATTTGAAACTGGTGTTTCATTGGGAGTAATGCCTTCCACACCAGCTCCAGCTACAAGTATCTGTAGCGTCCTTCTATGACAATCTAAATAGATAGAAACATTCATTGATTCCTCCTGTTCACATGCTTTGATCAATGCATCTAATGCAGATAGCTCAACTGACTTAAATCCTTTACATTCTTGATTAAAGGCATATAATACATCGACATGGACATCATTTGCAGATAATAGAAGAGGAGTAAGCAAATTAACACATTCTGTATACATATGTTTCTCAAGCATCTCAGTTACAGTCGTCTTCAACAAGTAATCTGCCTCTATTAAATTCATCTCATGGAGAACCCTATCAGTGGTTAGCCTTTTAATAGCCTTGCAGTGTGGCAAGCAAATAGAACCAAGAGAGTTGTTCATTTTTTTCTTGTCCGCTAGAAGGGACAATGCAAATGAAAGATGTCGTCGAGCTTTTTCTTTCTCGCCATCTAATAAAAACAAGTGTGCTCTTAACCAAGAATAACGTACCCAGAAGGGATAGTTGTTCCTCAAAGAAGATGTACTGTCAATTGCTAATCGATGGTTCCGTTCAGAATTCTCTTCCAAAAAGCAATTTTCATTCCCTTGCATTCCCATAATATGAAACGGATATTCAAGACTTACAAATTCAAGAATTTTACAAAGATGATAGGATGCCTCCGACATGAATTCAGACATTGCAGATGAGTCCAAAGAACGTATCCCAAAGTCATAATATAGCTCACTAAGAAAAAGACAGCATTCAGGAGTTCTATCCAGTCCACAGTGCCTAGTCAACTTCTCCAAGTCCAAGATTTTAGAATTGGAAACCTGATATGAAATGCCTATATTTGTAATTTCCTCTAAAAGCAAGTGACTCATATGGTAAGCACCAAAGTTTTCTGAAGTTCTCTCAATAAATCTAATGACATCAGTACACTGTTTATCCAGCGAACTGGAAACACCTTCAGCACAGTTAACAGAAAAGGGATGGTCATCATGGTTGAATTCTTTAGGTCCAGCACTGCCCACCAAATAAGGTTCTAGAAATTGCTTAACCACTTTAACTAAATCCTTATTGGAAGCAAAATCTGATACTTCTTTACCTGGTTTACGACTTCTAAGTCGACTGCTTCGTCTCTCCAGAGGTTGTTCTTCAAATATGGCCCCTTCCTTATATATAGTACTGTCATTTCCAGAGTTACAATTACTGACAGCAATGCTTGTACCAGCTGTCATGCATATAGGTTCTTTCCTTTCCACAGAACTCCTCACATTTCCTAAAGAAAGATTCAACTGTATACTTATTCTAACATGCCCAGATCTGTACCCCCCAGTCCTTGGTTCAGAACCAGTTGCCACTGATGGACATAAGATTTCCTGTAGTTCGCTGGCAAGAGCTGTCCAGGAGGCTTCTGGAAGTTGAAGTTCTATGCTTTCCTTCAATCTTTTAGATTCCATTGCCTTGTCTATACCCTCATTTGGTGCTTTTCTCTTCTCACCAAATTTTAGAAGAACATGTTCTGGTTCGAGCTTATCTATACCTTTTGGAGCAAATGGGATTGGTTCAGGCTCCTCAATGGTATTTTTGACATGCAAAGCACGATGGTGAGATGGCCACTGCCGTAAAATTAAGTTTGCAACAGAAAGACACGCCATCTCATCACCAATAGCAATGAGAACTTCCATTAGTTTCTCCATGCAATTCCCTGTGGTTTGATCAAAAACCAATAAAATGGACTTCAGTAATCCTTTAAGATGATAATCATTAGTAAAAATATAAATATAAAGATAGTACGACAAAATTAATGGTTTAACAAGCAGAAAATAAATATGATAAGCCCCCATTTGAGTCCCATTCTTTAAAACTCATTTTCAACCAGACTTTCTCACAACAAAATAATTTTGCACGTAAATCCAAAAACTTTTTAAGTGTATTGTCGAAAAATTGGGCTGAAACAGGGGCTAGGTAAAGTTATATGCTTACAGTTGTTCGGACTGCAAACCAGCCCTTGTTCGAATGCCCAACGGGAGATGCCTAATGATCCCATGGAGCATGATAGCGTTCCTAACTGGTTCCAGACAACATAATCATTGCTATCAATCTCTACGGCTTGAAGATAGCAGCGTAAAGCACTCTCATGATTGGTAGGGCCTTCTTGAAGAAAGACAGTAGCAAGGTTTTTCAGCCCCAAAAATCTGCAGAAATCTTGTTAAAATTGTAGAAGAAAATGTCTAGCATGTACTTCTGCTAATGCCTAATTAATTCAATTTGTAAATACTCACAAAAGCCAGGTATTTGTCAAATGGGCCTTTGAAGAAATTAAGACTAGCCAACTTGCTTCGGAAACAAGAAATATTTAATTGGATACCAAATATTAATGAGGCAATCCCCAGTGCATTGACATCGCTAATGGCAAGCAACAAAAATGAGCATTTCATTCTTCAATTGGTGAAACAATAATCATTAACTAATATATTCCAAGACAATCCTCTTCTCATGCAAGATAATGTTCACAATTGGGATCCACGCCACAAAAATATCACTCTTGTAAATAGTTTACATAGTCATTATCTCACACTAAAATAGAAAATCGAATATAAAGCAAAAACTTCTATATAATAGCTTTTTTGAGGATGACTAAGCCCAAAATAATTCAAATTTTTCTCAAGTCCATGTTACAACATAAGATGAACTGATTCATTCTGTTCTTCACAAGAATGAAGAAATAAACATTATAAACATTTCAAAACTAACCATGAATAAGTGGGACTCCTTTATTTGAATTTTTTAAGCTAACTGAAAACCTTATTGCTACAGAAGGACTGCTTCTGGACAACAGAATTTCTTTAACGATGTATATCATTGAGCCCAAAGATCAAAATACCATAAATATTATCACAATAATGATAGGCAACTTAAGCAAAATTTTGAGGCAAGAAATATAACATGAATTGCAATGACAAGAAATCAAGAATGCACAGTGTTAAAACACAACCTGAGCTGTAAAAGGTGACCATCTTTAGCACTATTTTCCACCTAGAAACAGAAACGCTGATTAGTAAGAAACTAGAAAAACAAGAATTTTCTTGGGCACTCAAGGAAACTAAAGATTATGTAAAACCTGAGCATTTGATACGAGTGGATCTTTTAACACCGCCTCTAAAAGATTCCTGGCCTTTTCATAGTCCTTAGCTTGTAACTTCAAAAGTCCATCATGATACATTTGTGATAAATGAAATTCCTGAAAAAAAAAAATATTGATAAATTACCAAGATTGCAGGGCAAAATGAGAAAAAAAATGTGATTGTGTAAATCTTAAGATGGATGGCACAACTTCGCACTGTGGGGGCAGAAATTTGCCAAAAGATAATAAAGAATGAATTATAATTTGACACTTTTCAGTAAGCAACGATCAGGTATAGGAATAATAAGCATTTCACATCATGTCTAAGTCTTTTTCTCAGAATTTGATGTGCCAACTGAAATTAGGATGGAGGCATGAGTACTTGGGAAGGGAATTAGGATGGAGTCAGGCGCCTTTCTCTCAATTTGATGTCCAAGTCATTTCACATCATGAGAACTTTTAATAGAAACTTGGGACGGGAATTAAGATGGAGTCAGAAGCTTTGCAAAGATAATTAAGCTGCTCAGGAGTATAAGATGATTGCTAGTTCTGGCTTGATAATCATTGCGAAACTATAGTTTTTAAATTATCTACTAATGATTGCCACAGTAACTGATTAAAACTTCTTAGTTGCAGAGCTGGTATATAAAGTAAAGAAATTTAGATACAGGACAGAAACTTATAATGGCTACCATTGCTTCGTATTACAGCCAAACTTTTATAATAGAGAGTCGAGACAAGATGAGAATGACCAGATGTTATGAGGTTCTAAGTATTCTTTTCTTTCCCCTCTTTTTTTCCCGTTCAGTTCATTATTCATGATCCATGTATCTATTCCTGCACCCATCCATTCCTTGTTCTAGCTGAAGTGGTCTCAGAATTGATTGTCGGCTGTGATTATTTCTGATTGGGTATAACTCAGATGTTCACATCACAAACTTGTATCCAAAAGCATGTCAAAGGGCATAAAAGTATCAAGAAACAGGGAATATGCAAGGAGTGTATGACGGAGCTTTGAAGAAGACATTTTATCAGGCTATAAAATGATTTTACTAAATTATACCTTTTACTCAGCAATAACGTGATTTTATGAGCATTACTACAGCATCTACGGGAAAGCTACTGCAGCAATTAAATAAAATAAAGGAATCATCACAGCAAGCACAACGCCTACACAATTTGCATAGGATTGTACGATCGAGTGATGACTTGCATTAACTATATACTATAGGTGGATGACGTGTATTAGTAAAATTCAAATGACATTTTTCTTATTTAAATGTTTAACTTCCTTGGGCTGCATTATCAAAATTCGAAAATGGATCAAATCAAATTCTCAGCAGACATGGCATTTGCTACAGAGTAGCTCTAAAAAAAAAAAAAATGAAATCGGTAAAATCCATCCATTTAACCCAGTTTAAAATCAAAATATACTAGAATACATAAAACAGATTACGAATTATGCCCGAACATATATAAATGCATAAGCAGAGTGGGAGTAACACAGCTTGCCTGGGCTTCTTTGGTTGGGGCTAGGGGTTGCCATTGGTTTTTTGAGTCTGTATCGTTAATGGCTGAAATTGAGAACTGAAACCCACAAAAATTAAGAAGAAAAGTTAAAATTCCATGATTCCACTTTGAATTCAACAGTTTTTCAGGTAGAAAAAAAGAGATTTTTTTAATACATACCATTCTTTAGAGTCTTCTGATAACAACAGTTGAAATTTTCAACGTACTCGCTGCGAATCGCTGTTAGTTTTTGAGATTAAGGAGAACAGGAATTTTATTTATTAGGGTTTCAGAGTTTGCTGCTACAAATTCGAATTTTTTTCTGATTTGGGATTTTCATTTTCCCCCTTCCATACTGTGTCCCTTTGGCCCCTATTTTTTTAAAATGAAAATGGATGAAGAAGTGTTATTTTGAAAAATGAGTGATTAAAAAAAAGGAAAATTTTTCAATTTACGTATAATATTATTTCATGAAAGATTGTGTGGTTGAAAATAAGAGAGAGAGAAATGAAATATAATGGAATAGAAATTAATGAAATTCAAACGTGGGCTATATTAAAAAAATTTTATCACAGAAGAATTCCGGATACTCACATGGGGAGTGGTCCCATGTGAGTAAAATAATTCAAAAAATTACCCACCCACCCCACACTATATGTATTCTGTAAAGGTTCTGTAAAAAAAAAAAATTATGCACATCTAGCAGCTCTCATTTATATATTTCTTTTTCAATATTTTGGGTTAATAACTATTTTGCCTCAAGTGTTTACTGAATGTCAATTCGAACCCTATAATTATCGATTAGGTGTCGTGAATTATAAGTTTATTAGTGAATGACAATCATACCCTTGTAGCTTTAAAAATTATTATTATTGTATCCATAATTCTTCCTTATAAATACGTGACTTTGATTCTCATTATAAAACATGCAAATTTTTATTACAATTATCTGTTATATGTGCCAAAATTAATTTAGTGATATGTGAATTTCGATGTACATATGCATTATAACGAGATTAATTTACTTCTCCATCAAAATGTGGTAATATTTTTGAAGCATGCTATGCGTACAATGCACTTTACAATTTGGTTTACAATAATTGAATTGGCACAAATTCCTACCATACATTTCAAAAACTGGTTTTTCAATCAATGGTGTGGATTTCTACACCTCACCAATTGTCAACAAAGTTGTGAGACATGATTGTACAATTAGAATAATGTTATATGAAATACATGCAATCTGTGAATTCAAAGGGTTTGATAGACAATTGCATATGTCAACACGAGGGTTTGTGTATGACAATGAATTGTGTCAATTCATGCATAGGGTTTGAGATATTTATTTTTTACTGCTGCACATGTGCATGGGATCAATTCATTAATTCATGTTTGTTTTTAATTTCTCCTCTTCTCTATGCAAAATATATATGTTTATGATGATTATTAAATATTTTTTATGTCTTTATCCTGGATAAATATTTTCAAATATTCATTTAAAATTTTTAAATTAATATATCATGTTATTACTCATGAATAAGCATAAATCTACAAATATAATACTCTACTATAAAACATACTCTTGCATAGTTAATGTTTTTAAATAAAAAGCCCTTGTTTGAGCCCCTTTTTTGAAAAAAAAATAAATATATTTTTAAACAGTATTTTGACATCATTTCAATCACACATTTTTCAATAAAATAATATTACACGAAAATATAAAAAAAATTCTTATTTTTTAACCACGTATTTCACATCATTACACTATTCAAAAATGCATTATTTTGGCAAAAATGGGGTTAAAACAAGGTAATATTATTGGCTCCTGAAGAGTATAAGTTATAATTTACAATATTTCAGAAAAATATTTACATATTACTCTTGAAAAAACAATAGTAAAATACAATGTGCTCTTAAAGTAACACATATTTCAAAAAATATGTGTAATATTAAATTAACATTTATCCATGGAAGAAAGCATATAATTCATGATGTTGACGTTGAATGCGTGGAAGCTTGTCTTCACTCATGTATATCAATCTTTTGTATGAGAAATTTTAGAAGAATTTTCAATAGATATTTGAAAAATGAAAAATTGCAATGCAATGATTGATATACATGCTAATCGCCACTCCATTTGAGGAGACCAATAAACCAAATATACCGGTAGTCAAATAATGCAATTATCAAAAAGCCATTGACCGAGTCTAACTAATTTGTTTAGAATTGGTGAAGCATTTTATCAGATTCTAAAGTTCTAATTTGATATTGTGCTCTTAACATTTTTAAAGAGTTTTCTATTAAAATTGTTAAATTATGTGATCCAATTTCTGAAATTGTAACTTGTCAATAAAGAGTTGCAAAACACTTGTATTTTGAAGTGAAATGTAGAAGTAAAATCAACATTAGTTGACCTTTGAAAGGGCGTATTCTTATGCAAAGATATGAAGGCGGCAACAAAACTGAAGCCTTGGGTCGTTTGAAGCACTGCATCTCACACGATAACATAGCTAACAAGGCATGTGATTTTCAATGTACAGGAAACCAGATGATTTACTTATTATTATAGAAAATGATTTTTATCGCCATTGTTGGTGGTAACAACTGCAATGGAAGAAGATTAAAAGCAATATTTATGAAATAAATGAATATTTGTAGACATAAGAAAAGTGACAGTCATACATATCAATAGAAAAATATATCAGCAAAAATTGATGTCCCTATAAGACAATCTGCTAGAGTAAATGAATCTCAAATACTCTAAAAGCGTGATCGACCAGTTGATTCAAAAAATTGTGTATCTTGAAAAAGAAAAATAAAAGAGAAAAACAACCAAAAACTTTAGAATAAGTAACACTATAAAAGATTGATCCATCAAATGTTAAACATATTATTCTCGAAAAACCACGAGTGTTCAAAAATAATGATATTTCAATAAATTATGTATTATCTCATAAACTATAGAGATCTTTGAAGCAATCATTGACAACAACATTCTTAAACTATTCTAAAATTATTGCAATCCACGAAGCATGAGGAATACTACCCATCATATCCAAACATCATGCTAATTAACATTCATAAAAGATAATTCAACAATTTTGTATGAAAACAATATAACTTGTATTGCACAACTCAAATAAGGTTATGTCAAAGGTGGTGGAACAAAAGCATATTTTTCCAAAATTCTTTCATACCCACGAGCTTCAGAAAAATGCGCGACGCTGATGTTCAGCAAATTCGCTCAACTAATAATATAGCCGATTTATTCACGAAAGCATTGTCGACATCTACATTCAACAAATTGTTTCACAAGATTGGAATTAATCGGCTCAAAGATTTTCATTGATCAGCATTAGGGAAAATAGCTGTACTAATTTCCTTCGCTTAAGTTTTATCTCACTGAATTTTTCTAACAAGGTTTTAATGATATATCATTTTTTTATAATATTCCAAAATAATCGTACTCTTTTTCATTGGTTTGATATTTTTGTTCCATTGAATTTTTATCAAACAAGGTGTTAACGAAACATATATTTTGACTATATGTCATTTAAAAGAGAGTGTTACAAATGGTAAGTGTATTGGTGAATGACAATTGTACTCCTGTAATCCTAGAAATATTACTATTGTATCAGTATTCATTCCCTATAAATATGGTGCTTTAGTTCTCATTATAATATACACGAGTTTATTGATTTTTATTCTTTCTTATTTTTTTCTCTTTTTTCATAACATTAAGAACTTATTTTGGAAATTCTTTTTAAAATACCTATTTTAAGATGGACAAGATGAAAAAATAATCTTTTATTTTTTTTATTTATTGTCAAAATATTCTTATAAAAATAATCTTTTAATTTTATAATTTCTTGTCTAGATATTTTTACTTAAAACTTCAAAAAAAGGGGGGGGGGGGGGGGGGGGTAGAAAAAANGGGGGGGGGGGGGGGGGGGGGCTAGACAACACAAAACCCTTATCTATTGGCCAAACTGTCGAAAACCCATACCTTTTAAAAATAGCACAAAACGTCCCTTTTTGAAACTCAATACGGAATAACTCCTACCACCCATTTTTTCAATAAAAAAATTCGAATGATGAATATATCCTTCTATTTAAATAAAAAAGAAAAAGAAGAAGAAGAAGAAAAATAAGGAATTATTTGTAATTATATGGGGTGTTTGATAAATATTTTTATGTAAAAATGCATTTTAGAATAATAAATTGATGTGAATGTGTGGTTGAAAAATAAGGAAAATTTTTTGATTTACGTGTAATATTATTTTAATAAAGAATGTGTTGTTGAAAAGAAGAGAGAGAAAAATGTATTTTGAAAAAAATGACTACCAAACGAGCTCATAATCCCAAATTTTTGAAAAAGTTGCAAGAGAGTACTAAACAAATTCAGTAAAAAAATAAGATTTAAAAAAAATGATTTTTCTTTCTCCCACCACCATGGACTTTGTCGCCGCCATCACCACCCCCACCATTATCATGTGCTTGAAATTTGAAATCTAATTCAATTCTAAATCATTCTCGTTCCAAATTTCCTCTATGCTGTCATTGTATCTAAAAATTTGAAACCAGACCAAGACTTAATTTTGAATGTCCAGCAACGGTTTCAGAATTTTTTAGTAGTTCATTACATGCTAAAAGTATAAGCTTGAATATGTAAGTTCTTTTTGGGAAATACATGGAAATAGCCTTTAAAAAATGACCACTTTTCCAAAATAACCTTTGGTCAATTTACATACAAAAAATGCCCTCTATTTGGATATTACATAATAAGACACTATAATATATAATTCCTCTATTTTAGTCCTTAAAATTAAATATTGATTGAAATTTGATAGTTTTTATTTGATTTATTTGATTAATACTTTTAATTTGATTTATTTGATTTTTGTTCGCTCTAAGTAACCCCCCTTATTGATATCAGAGTCATAGAGATTATGATAGAACCTATAAAAAATAGATTAGTTGAAGAAGTAAAAATCTTTAGATTTAGATTAACACTAGGGGTGGGCGCGGGTCGGTTCGGTTCGGTTCTCTTTAGAACCGAACCGAACCAAACTTTTCGGGTCTCTAGTAAATGGAACCGTCGGGTCCAAATATAATTATGGAACCGTTCGGGTTCGGTTCCATTCGGTTCGGTTCCATTCGGTTCGGTTCGGATCGGTTCGGTTCCGTTCGGTTCTGTACTATAATTAAATTTTTTAACATTTATAACAACGTTATATAAATACGACTAATGATACATTCAATAGTTTTGGAATGTCAGAGATTAGTAAACTATTTTGTTCAAATAATCGCTACGATCAAAGTTTCAGTCGGGGAAAGTCAAATTTTTTCTTTTTTTTTTTTTTTTTTTACAAA